AAATAAAAAATATAGACAAGTTCCTCCACGGTCACCCTGGACAGACACTGATGAGAAGAGATTGCAGGATACCGTAGAATAGATATGGAGAACAAAATCCTGCCAGATCTCATAGGAAAAAACTTGTGGATTGAATAAGTCAAAAAGTGTTGCAATTGTTTCTTACCTTTACGCAGGATTTTCCCCATGCTAACCCCACATAAACTATGCAGGATCCTGTCAGTGCTGGCAGTATAAAAATCCTGCGTAAAGGTAAGAAACATCCCCAGATATTTTAATACCGATAAGCCGCAGGATCCTGCGCAAAATCCCACGGGATCCCGCATGAATTCTGATTATTTTTTTCAGTGTGTATACTACATTATTGATCTCAGTGTGTAAAACTTGACGGTCACTTAGCAGTGTGCATTTTGCACACGTACGCCGTACGTTCTAGACGGTCACTGGAAATCTACTTGGCGTTCACTTTATGTATATCATTTACACACTTTATTTTTTACAGTGCAGTATCGAGTATATTCTGATATAATTCTGTATTTGCTCTATTTATTGCTGTATGTACTTCTCTGGCTATTATTGATAGACATGAATCTCTGTGATCTAAAATCGTTAGATATCAAATATGAGACAGTCCATAATTCAGAAATACACTACCGTTAGATTTATCCAGCATTGCTAAACAACCCTCCGATATTCTGCTCATCCAAATTTCCCTTCAGCCCTTTTTCATCGATCCTCCTGAGCCCGGAAAATCTCTGCTAACAATAAATATATTTTCATATAACATTAAGTATAAGCATTCATTGTTTCATATTGGTTCACAAGAAGAACCGCCACCGTTATTATAAAAATTGATCAAAATAAACATAACATCTATCGCTCGCAAGATAATGCTAATCATTAAAAATGTGCTTCGTGGGGTTCGTCGTGTAGTTCCTCGTCAAGCTCTCGAAAAACCTTTCTCGCGAGGTCCGCCTCGCGAGGATCCTTGTCTATCACCCACCTCTAGTACTTATAATTAAATAAGAGAGACGAGCTTATAAAGTTGCATATTCATTTTTTTCTCAAAAAGCATATTTTGTCACTAATTTCAAACGTATCGATGAGAGATCCGAGCATGCTTTTCTTGTGCGTAGGTGAGCTGGATTGCATATCGTCGAGAAGACGTTTCAGAAATTCGATCAATGTTGACGAATTTAAATATTGTCCACCATAGTTAGATCTGTAACTTGTATAAATATCTTCAATAGCATAAACTCCACCTGATCGAACAATGGTAGGAAAGAGCACAGTGAGACTGTTAATTTGGTGTGTCATTCGATGGCCACCATCATCAATAATTACATCAAACATCTTAGTATGTTTACCAGCGAATGCTTTTAAGAACGGTACATCATCTTGCGAGCCATAATGCATGGTCACGTTCAACTACAAGTAGTCATGTTAAAATCACACAGAAATAGAACTCTTAGAAATGTTTAGTTCTGTTCACTCCCAAGCAAAAACGACCCAATTTTAGATTAATAATCCAAAAAATTGGGTCGTTTTTGCTTGAGCAGTTTTACTTACCTTTTGTCCGCGTTCAAGCATCCACTTTTCGCCGCACGTTTTGTCATATTCAAGAAAATGAATAGTAGCCTTTGGACCGAAATATTCTCTCCACATGGCCGCTGACACACCTACCCCCCATGACATACCACAACCGAGACCGATTTCGAGCAATTTAACATTAGTACCACGGTACGCTCTAAAATAGCGTTCATAAAAACGCGTATAATGATGAACAAGACCTTTGCTGGTGCGATACTTTTTGTCCAGCTGCACGAGTGACATAAGAGTTGACGACTTCACTACGTTGGTATTGGTGATGCGCGGTGACGGCGATGACAAAGCCGATGATTTAAACACATGTTGGGCAATAAAAAAAAGGGTGACCAGTACGATAAGTACGATGATGAAGCGGCTGCTCCCAAGCTCTTTCGAAGCAATCATCTTTGGTTTCGTATCGGAGACAAAAGAGAGCTTGCAACAAATGAAAGAAGAGATATGTCATACCAGTTGGTGATGCTGTAATTTAACTACAGTAGTTGGCACTTTAGTACGTGTCTGTCGGATGATAGAATACTTAAATTACCTTCGAGCCCGTTTTCCTTTGAGCTGTATACAACTAATCGAAAGAGCAAGCCTGTCCACCGAAATCTCTCGTCTTCTAAAACCTGTCTTTTTGTTCAATTTGATTTGATCGAATGGAAAGGAATCGGCCTTTCTAGCAAGACATTTCATGTTACATCATCAGCGGCTTCTCCATTACTTACAAATATCTCCTGCAGTAATTTCGGCGCACCTTTCTTTTTAGCAACCCGCCTGTACTGCGTTAACGAAGTGTTTTGTTTTCGTTCGTATTCGTTCGCTTTCTTTCATTTTTCGGATCAATCTTACTTGAAGAACTCGTTTACAAGAAGAAAGGATTTTTCTTCTTTTTCTGTCTGATGCTACAGAACCGAAAAAGTGAAATCTTGTAATTCACACGAAGTTTTAAGTTTCCTCTTATATTCTCTTTCGATTACATGGTGAGAAAGATTTTATTTTTTGAAGATTTTTTTATTGCTCCTAGGCGATATTAGTGTTTTGTTGATTTAATAAAGCGATTAACATTTAAAATTCTGGTTGCTAATTACCATCAGTAACCTTGAACCTCTATTTAATCTCATTTTTATTTGAAATATAGAAATGAGAGATGATGTATCTCTTTTGAGAAGCGTAATTTCGTGCCAAAATATTCATTTCTCAACCGCGATGCATTCTAATTGATGATAAGAAATACATTGAAAAATATGAATTTGTATCTCTTATAGGACATGGTCGTCACCGTTACCTTATTGCTAAGAGCCGTCTGGTTAGTAATCGACCTAGGTTGAACAAAGGGTATGCATTTTTTAGGTCATCGAAAAGTGACTTTTGATCATCAAATTAATTCATCAGGAGGATCGATGAGGAAGTGCTGGAGTAAAATTTGGATGCACAGCATATCGAAGAGCTATTTAAAAAAGCTGGATAAACCTAAAGGTAGTATAGTTTATTGTTAGTTGCTCTTTCATATAAAACGTTTCTATTTCGCGTATACACCCGATGTTTGTCTGAGCATTCCCTCGCACATTAAAACAATCAATATAACACAGAAAGTAGTGACATTCAAGTTTTCCACGATATTTTCTATTCCATCGATTCTTCTCGTTGTCTTATCAATATAATTTTACTTTATTCGAAATCAAAAATTGTGACTATTCATCCTTTTTAAATATCAGTTTTAAAGCGAAAAGGGTATGAAAGATCGTATCATATAAAGTTCGTCTTGACGCAATGCATAGCTCTCTAAATGAAAAAAATGACTTTAGTTGATCGAGTTCCTGGATTTTTTCTCATTAGTATTACTATCGGCTGCAATCATTTCTTTTCAGATAATTTGAGATACACCACCATGACAGAAGTGACGTTAAACTGAGAAAGCATGGCAAAATAATAATGCTTCTCTTTCTCAATAAAACTATTTAAAATACACCTATGTAAGTAAATCAACTGCCTTCTCATAGGCGGACGGACCATGATAAGTACAATGGCTTCTAAGTGAATTCATCCAACGCATGTTAAAAAAAGAATAAAGTAGAGCCACCATGTTCACTATATTAAAAAATTCAAGTACAAATCAAGCTTGCTCACGTAAAGAAGAAATAAATCAGAATGATTACAAATTTTAACATGATAACGTGATAACATCAATGAACTGATTTTTCTTAGAACAAAGCAGTATATACGTCTTTACTTCTGCTTATCATAAATAATACTTTAGACACTTCTGAAGTATTTTGGTGACGACGGTAGTAATAGAAAATGATACGTAATTCGCATATACCAACATTAGTCTAGTAGTGTAAATTTTCTTTCACCTGTGAGGTATACAATAAAATATGCAGTTTTCTCTCTCAACACAAAAATCTCCTTTTAGAATTTGGAATATGGTGAACATAGTGGTTCTACTTTATTCTTTTTTATAACATATCTTGGATGAATTCACTTAGAAGCCATTGTACTCAGAAAGATCCGTCCGCCTATGAGAAGGCACTTGATTTACCAATTAAAGCCATTTTCTCTTTCAGAGAGGTGTGCATTGCGACAAGCCGAACTTTATATGCCACGATTTTTGAAACTGAGCAAGCCTAGTAAAATAATACTGCTTCTCTTAATGCATCTCTCAAAATGCATATTTTATTGTATACCACACAGGTGAAAGAAAGTTTATACTACTAGACTAGTGTTGGTATATTCACGTATCATTTTCTATTACTACCGTCCTCACCAAAATACTTCAGAAGTGTCTAAAGTATTATATACGATAAGCAGGAGTAAAAAGGTATATACTGCTTTGTTCTAAGAAAAATCAGTTCATTGATGTTACCACGCTGTTATTGTATTAAAATTTGTGATCACTCTGATTTATTTCTTCTTTACGTGAGCAAGCTTGATTTGTACCTAAATAAATACAAGAAAGATGCACGTAAAGCAAACTTCGAGTGAGATTTATTCTAGTTTATTATACATCTTCGGATTCAGCTCAACCACCTGATCACGAATAGTACCTTCCGAGCCTCCAAAAATCAATTCTTTATGGAGAAAAACTCAAATCACTGAGAGGACCTCAGCCTCAAAAACTAGTTCTCTATGATCTATTTTGTAAACCTAACTAGTTTTTTGGGTGAAGGACTATACCTTTGATGTTTTGTTGTTGCCGACAAAATTCATTTTTTCTAAATAAGAAGCGAAAAACTCGAAATTCTGATCGTAATTCACAGTTTTCTCGATTCGAACTCAACGTTTGAGCAATAAAAATATTATATTCGGAGTCAGAATCAAAAGCTGAGTCGATCGATATGCATTTCGCTAGTTTTAGTTGATTTTCAATTTTGAGTGAAAAGCTAGGTAATTTTTCAACGTGGAAATTCGAAGAAAACATCAAAGTAGTCAGATAGGATAGAAATACATATCAATCCACTCAGTTTTTGATTCTGATTCCAAATATGGTATTTTTATTGCTCAAAAATTGAGTTCTAATCGAGAAAATTGGAAATTACGGTCAGAATTCTGAGTTTTTCGCTTCTTATTTTAAGGAAAAGAGATTTACTGTGAAGAGTGGTTTTCGGCCTTGGACTCTAGAAAACCCCGGAACGGTAACAGATAGAGAGTAAAAAGAGATGTTGTCATCACACCTTTGAGAGTGGAACGTTTACTGAACGTTTGATCAAAATCGGATGTAGGACAAAAACGTTTTTTCTGAGAGGGGACCCACAATTCGACAGAACAAATGATTTTGAAGAATTTGTCTATTAATTTCTTTTACGATCATGATACTATATACGTATTTTTACCAGCATTAAAACAACTAAACAAACGGGTATGTAACAGGTAATAGCTTTTCAAAAACCAAGTATTTTTCATTGATTTATGGTTTTGTTGAACTTCATCGTGTAATGCAGACAAAATAGAGTATATCTTAAAGCATAAACATTGTTATGAGGTCCAACACAACTGATAACTTATGTTTCTATCCACTTTTGAATTTGACAAAATTCTTCGAAAACTGATTCTGAGGGTCTTAGGAAATCCGTTATCACGCCTAAACGATGAAAGATAATGATCCTGAATGATTGCCGTTTTGAAGAGGACACTCCGAACTATCTACGCATGAAAATAAATTAATAGATTTATGTTTGAACTATTATCTGCCCTGTCTTTCCGAAGATTCCGTAGAACATCCATCTCTTAAACCTTTTACAAACTCGTTTTTCTTATAAAATGATGTCAACGCGTCTCCTCTTTTTATAGTTATGGTTTGTATGAAGTTTTAGCAAGAAATCTCAGATCTAAAATATCAAATTCGTGACAATAATACGTCAGAAATGATAAAACAACAAGCATCTGCTTACCTTTACTTGTCAAAACATGCATCAAATACTTAATTTCGGTTTTATCCTACTTAGATCATACTTTAATCCTGTCTATTAAGAAAAGTTACAAAAAACTTGACTAAGCGAGCCGACCAAGGTTCTATGATGTAGAGTCAACTAAATAGTCTAACGACGAACTAAGACAAATACATATATAGATTCTACTTAGATCGTGTTACAAGAGAAATTCTACAATTCAGATTGAAATATAGGATATATAAAGAACAAAAATATAAATGAGGTATTTATTAGGAAATCTCACACATTTTCACAACTATCCTTTAGAAATTTCAGATACCTAAAACCTGGTTTTCCTCCTCCCTAGTTCATCGAGAACTAATGTATATACAAATGACATGACATACACATCATTCTCAATGAACAGGAAAATATTCCTGAAGGCTGTTTTCTGCGTTATACGGATCGGCAGAGCTCAATTAAAATAAGATCGTTTATGAAAGGATAATAAAACATATCGTGCTGTTTTCGTGAATATATATCCACATCAAATAATTGATTGTTTTAATATGCGAGAGAATTCTCGGATAAACATCGAGTATATATACAGGATGAAACTCATTCTGATTCTATATTCATAACTGTTATTTCTTCTTTATGTGAGGAAGCTTGATTTGTACCTAAATAAATATAAGAAAGATCAAACTTTCAGTCAAATATTTAGATTTGAATTTGTCAAAATATTTAACTGAAAATGTCACCTTTCTTATATTTATTTAGATACAAATCAAGCTTCCTCACATAAAGAAGAAATAACAGTTATGAATATAGAATCAGAATGATTACAAATTTTAATACAATAACAACGTGATAACA